ACCTGCCAGGTAAAGAGACTTATATACTTTATATACATAATAATAATAATAATAATAATAATAATAATAATAATAATAATAATAGGGACCAGTGCGCTGTTGTGATTTGAGCATTTGGCTATGACCCTGGAGACCAGGGTTTGGATCCTGGCTGGGCCAATGAAACCCACTGGGTGACCCTGGGCAAGTCACACTCTCTGAACCTCAGAGGATAGCCATGGCATATCGGAAATGACTTAGGGTTGGCATCTCGGAAATGACTTGAAGGCACACAATAGCACATGTTATATGTATTGTTTTAAAGATAATTTTGTACCTGAAACAATGTTTGTGTACAGTGGGGCCCTTGTTGTTGGATGGGGTTTGGTTCCAGTGGACCTCTGTGGATACCAAAATCCATGGATGCTCAAGTCCCATTAAACACAATGGAGAGTAAAATGGTGGCCCTTATGTACAATGGCCAAATCAAGGTTGGCTTTTGGAAATGTATATATTTGTTTCAATACAGTCAAGCCGTGTATGGTTGTGGCTTAAAAAATAAAATCCATGAATAGAAGGGTGGACTATACATTGAACTTCCAGAAAGCAAAGGCATCACTCTCTCGGCCACCAAGGGGCCCAAATTTGGAATAGTTTGCATTTTTCAACCTGGGGCAGGATACAGCTTTGTAATAGAAGGAGGCTGGGAAGAGCCCTCCAAACACAGGAGAGAGAGCAGCAAAACCAGCCTGACAAGAAGAAAGGAAAGAGCAGGGCAGGGCGAGGCGAGGCGTGTACCTGCGTGTCAGGTGAGCATGTGTGAACCTGCCAAACCCGAAATGCACCTTCCCCAGACTAGGGGCCAAGCTTGAAAGTCAGGGAGGCTGAGAAGGGATGGTGTTTACCGAGGAAAATTATTATTATTATTATTATTATTATTATTATTACTATTCTTCTTCTTATTATTATTAATTTGACTACAATCCATCAATTTGGGGGGGGGGGGGAAGAATGGAGTCCTCCTTTGCCTGGACCTGTCCTCCATCCCAGCCATTCCAGTCCAGGAGGAATTCCAAAACACCCTGACTAAGGAGCATGCATAGACCTTTCTAGGAGTGCTTTGCTACTGTCCTCCATTTTGTCCTCCAACATCCTCCATTCTGCGGGGCCTCGTCCTCCTTGGGCTATCTGCTCACCCTGGAAAGGAAAGGAAAAGCAATCTCATAGAACCTGCCCCATACATTGGTTGTTTCTCCATCTAGATCCATGAGGAGGTGACATCATCAACATCATCATCATCATCATCATCATCATCATCATCTGCTATTATATAAATATATTCTATAGTATTATATATTGTAAATATATTAGCCTTCTTGAGTCTCTATACGGGGAGGAAGGCAAGATATAAATAAATAATAATAATATGCATTATTGTTGTTGTTAAGAAAAGGAGGGTGGGGGAAGGAGGAGATCTGTGGTCCAAAAACCAATCCCCTAAACCCCAATCCTCTATAAATATAAGCCCCTTAACCCAAACCTACCTACAAACTTACTTAAATTAATGTGTATGCAGAACATATTAAAAGAAAAGCAGGCTTGGACACAGAAGAAGGAGGAGTGAAAATAGGAGGAAGGAATATCAACAATCTAAGTATGCAGATGACACCATAATACTAGCAGAAAAGCTCACAGACCTGGAACACCTACTAAGGACGATCAAAGAAGAAAGTGCAAAGGCAGGCTTACTGTTGAACATAAGGCAAACAAAAATAATGACCACAGAGAACTTACACACATTCAAACTAGACAATAAGGAAATAGAAATAGTAAAAGAGTTCTCATATCTGGGATCAAACATTGATCGGAATGGGGACTGCAGTCAGGAAATCAGAAGAAGACTAAGAATGGGGAGAGTGGCTATGAAAGAACTAGAAAAGATTCTAAAATGCAAAGATATACAACTCAGAACAAAAGTTAGAATCATACAAGCTATTGTATTCCCTATTTTGTATGGATGTGAGAGCTGGACAGTTAAGAAAGATGATAGGAAGAAAATCAATGTATTTGAGAGAATGTGGTGCTGGAGAAGAGTGCTGAGGATCCCATGGATAGCCAAATGGACAAACAAGTGGGTCCTAGAGCAGATCAAGCTGGAAACCTCCCTGGAAGCCAAGATGACCAAACTGAGACTGACATACTTTGGACACATCATGAGAAGGCATGAATCAATGTAAAAGACAATCATGTTAGGAAAGGTGGAGGGAAGTAGAAAGAGAGGAAGGCCACATGCGAGATGGATGGACTTTATTAAAGAAACCACAAATATGAGTTCGCAGGAACTGGGCAGAGCAATAGAGGGCAGTGGGGCCTGGAGATATTTCATTCATAGGGTCGCCATGGGTCGAGACTGATGCGAAGGCAGTTAATAACAAAAAATAATAATATACATTATTATTGTTGTTGTTAAGGAAAGGAAGGTGGGGGATGGAGGAGAACTGTGGTCCAACAACCAATCCCCTAAATGTTTCCCTATGGGCAGGTATTCTCCAATGATTTCCTATGGCCAAAGATTCCTCTGTTTCCTTATGGGCAAGGACTCTCCAATGATTCCCTATGGGCAAGGATTCCCCTATGTTTCCCTATGGGCAAAGATTCACCAATGATTCTCTATGGACAAGGACTCTCCAATGATTCTCTATGGGCAAGTATTCCCCTATGTTTCCTTATTATGGGCAAGGATTCTCCAATGATTCCCCATGGCCAAAGATTCCCCTATGTTTCCCTATGGACAAGTATTCTCCAATGATTTCCTATGGCCAAAGATTCCCCTTTGTTTCCTTATGGGCAAGGATTCCCCTATGTTTCCCTATGGGCAAAGATTTGCCAATGATTCCCTATGGACAAGGATTCTCCAATGATTCCCTATGGGCAAGTACCGTCGTCTGTTTTAGTACGTCCCTTGAATAAGCTTTAATTGTAATAAAATTTAATGAAGGGAAAGGGGGAAGGGAGAGAGAGAGAGAGAGAGAGGAAACCACCACCCCCAAACCAATCCCTGAGGCCAGGTTTGAAGCGCAGGCTCCAGAGAGGGTGGGTGCTGAGTTCGAATCCACCCGCCCCAGAGAGGAGGCCCGTCTGGATGACCTCGCGGGGCTCCTGCAGCGAGAGGCGGGTTTGATGGGCGCTGGCCCTGCCGCGGCTGCAGCCCTTCTTCCTCCGGCAGAAGCCTCTGGGTCCGGGAGGAGGAAGAAGGGGAAGGCGAAGGCGAGAAGAAGAAGAAGGGGCGCCGCCCCTCCGGAGCCCAGCCTCCGCTGGATGTTGCCCGCCTTGCGCTCCAGAGGCGCCGCCGCCGCCTCCTCCTTGCCAGAGCCAGGCGGAGATGGAGATGGAAAGGAAGAAGGAAGGGCGCCGAGCATGAACTGCGGGGAGCCCAAGGAGATGGAAGGTGAGCAGCCGGCAAGGCCCCGCAGGCAGGCAAGGAGAGGGAGCGAGCGAACGTGGGAATGGGGAGACGCGTGTCAGCGGGGGAGAGGAGAGAGAGAGAGAGAGAGGAAAGGGGGCGCCTCTGGCAGAAGCCCCTTCAGTCCCCCATCTGCTGGCCTTGGGTTGCGGGTGTTGTGGGTCTTCCAGGCGGTTCTGACCTACAGGGTAAAGAACCTCTGTGTTGTGTTGTGTTGTGTGTGTGTGTTGTGTATCCTTCAAGTGGTTTCTGACTTATGGGGGATCTCTGTCTCTCTCTGTGTTGTGTGTCTTCATGTCGCTTCCTACTTATGGGGGATCCCTCTTTGTGTTGTGTTGTGTTGTGTTGTGTTGTGTGTGGGTGTCTTCATGTCGTTTCTGACTTACGGGAATCTCTTTGTGTCTTGTGTTGTGTATCCTTCAAGTGGTTTCTGACTTATGGGGGGATCTCTGTGTGTTGTGTGTCTTTATGTCGTTTCTGACTTTTGGGGAACCTTTGTGTGTGGTGTGTGTGTGCTTTCAAGCCATTCTTGGCTTATGGGGAAGCTGTGTGTGTGTTGTGTGTCTTTATGTCGTTTCTGACTTATAGGGTGCAGCTGTGTGTGTGTGTGTTTTGTGTGCTTTCAAGCCGTTCTTGGCTGTCTTCTGTTTGTGTGTGTGTTGTGTACTGTGTGTCTTTATGTCGTTTCTGACTTATGGGGAATCTCTCTCTGTGTGTGTTGTGTCTTTGTGTTGTGTGTCTTCATGTCGTTTCTGACTTATAGAATGGACCTGTGTGTGTTGTGTGTCCTTCAAGTGGTTTCTGACTTCTAGGGAATCTCTGGGTTGTGTATCTCTGTGTGTGTGTTGTGTGTCTTCATGTCGTTTCTGATTTATGGGGAATCTCTCTGTGTGTTGTGTGTGTGTGTGTGTTGTGTGTGCTTTCAAATCGTTCTTGGCTTATGCAAAAGCTCTGTGTGTGTGTGTGTGTGTGTGTATCTGTGTGTTGTATGCCTTCAAGACAGTCCTTTCTGACTTAGGGTGAACCGGTGTGTTTGTGTGTTGTGTGTGCCTTGAAGTCGTTTCCCGTTGATGAGGAGCCGATTTCTTCAGAGGAGGTTTGCCCTTGCCGCCTTCCCCTGAGGCTGAGAGAGTGTGACTTGACCAAGGTCACCCAGTGGGTTTCCAGACCCCTCTGCCAGGCTGGTTTTCCCCTTGTGAGGCCTTTGCCATCCTCTGGGGCTGGGGCTGGGGCCGGGCAGGGATCGGAGAGCAGTGCTCCAACCACTAGCCCACGCTGCCTCGCCTCTCCCTCTCCTTCCTGCCCCATCTGGCTGGGGATGATGGGTGTTGGGGTCCAGGATGGGTGGGTTTTCTGCGGGGAAGAAAGGAGAGCAGGAAAGGCAGAAGCCCCTTCAATATACTGAGCTTGTTGCTGAGTGCCTTGAAGTCCTTTCTGACTTAGGGCAACCCTAAAGCCACCCTATTCTGGGGTTTTCTTGGCAAACCTTGGTCAGAGGAGCTTTGCCATTGCCTTCCCCTGAGGCTGAGAGAGTGTGACTTCATGAAGCCGGGAGGCATGGCTGAGCCGGGATTTGAACCCCGCTCTTTCTTCAGAGTCCTAGTCCGCCACTCAAACCACTAGGCTACACTGCTGGATGTCTCTCCCAAGATGTCTCACCTGGCAGTCCTTGCCTGTTGTCCAGGTAAGCAAAGGGAGGGGGTGTCTGGACATGGAGCCCCCTAATATGGAGGGGGAAGGCACTCTGCACAGGCTCAGGGTTACTCTTGACTTTTGATTCTCAGAAATTCAAACTGGTTTCAGGGCTCAAGCCTGGCTGCTAGTGCAATTTAGGTGGATCTTTTTTAAAAAGATGTATCCTACTCCAGGCTGAGTCTCCCTTATCTGGAATGTCAGAATCCCAAAAAATTGTCCCTGTGGCTGGCTCAGATAGGGACACCTTTGCTTTCTGATGGTTCAGCGTACACACATTTGTTTCTATTAAAAATAGTGTGCATAAAGTTACCTTCAGGCTAGGTGCACAAGGTGTATATGAAACGTCTAGGTTTGGATCCCATCTCCAATATTCTGTGTATGCAAACAGTCCAAAATCCAAAA